CTGTCTCTCTATCTGCATATTTTTATGCACAAGTAGACAAAAGACTTAATTAAAGAACTGGCAGATGATGCTATAGTGCTGATCAGCCGGTTTGTGTCATCCAGAAGCTATGTGGCTCTCTGTGGAGCAGCTGAGACGCTGTTCACAGCTTTGACTGGGAGCAAAATATCACAAAATTTTATATTTTTGTCTGATTTTAGCAACATTTTACTGCCCAACTGTTAACTTATAAGGCCTGTCCTGACAAGATAATAGTCAGAGAATAATAACAAATGTTTCAGTTGTAAGAGGCATCAAAACAACAGGAATTAAAATTGTGCAACCCAAACATGGAGCCTTGCCAGGGACTTCACTCTGGGTCTAATCTCCCACAGGCTGTATCCTGCCTCCTCATACGAGCAGGAATGAGCACATGTTAGTTTAGGAACACCCAAAGCTCAGCAGGCTGCAGGACCAAAATGACCTCTGCTATGCATACCATGTCCAGCTGCACTTTTTCTCACGACATGATTTAAAGTAGCTATAAGCAACATTCTGACATTAACAATGGATCAAGAAACCGCTTATAGGAAAGAGGTTTTTCATGGTTGTGACCCTACTCAGAGTCATCACCCAACACTGCAGTTCCTCTTAGGTCATTGGAGCTTAACGACATTTTCTGTTCATTGTTTTCTGCCCCAAAAAACTACTGTACGCTTCCTGCCCAACCCCAAACAGCAGGCTGGTGATAGCGAAGGGAAATGCCTTTCTTTGAGCTGGATCTAATGGCTCCATTCCTCTCCAAGAGCCAAAAGAACAACTCATTGTTCTCTCTATTTTTGGCTGGACCACAACAGTGGGGCCTACAAACACAAATATCTGTCCCTGTCTGACCGACTCAAGCCCAGTCTCAGTTTCTGCATTCACAGACCCCCTAACTCTGAGAATTTTGAGCCGTCCTAGCGAAGCAGATTTTTCGACGCTACTTCATCCCCTTTCTGTGAGTCACATCTTCAAACTTTTGTGAAGGACTTATAATTGGTGACATATAAACATGGTTCCCCTTCATGAGATGTACTCAAACAGGTCACGGATGATTCAGGGAAGAAATACAGAGACTCTGAGAAATCCTCTAGAAAGTTCTTGTTGAAAGATATTTATTGCACATTTGTAGAGTTTATATTTCCAGCCAAATGTTTGCATGAGATTTACAAATGTTCATGACTTTCCTGACTTTTGGCAGTTTGCTAAGCTGTATAAACACTGTAACCTCCCAGACAGGAACTGATTGACGGCACAGTTCATCAGCGGCAAATGAAACACAAATGTACTTCTCTGTTAATGGCTCCAAGCGATAGTGTCATGATAGTGTGGCCCATTTCTCCTTTTCATATCATTTGCCGCCCCGATGAACTCACAAACTGAAGCACTGCATTTAAAATCTGAGAAGGTTTAGTGTTCAGGTTTTAGGGTGAAGATTTGGATTTGATCGACTGACTGATGAAGTTACTCCACTGGTCAGTTGAGTATTTATTGGCTGTGGCTCTTTCAAAATAAACAGTACAAATCCAAATTATTCTCACACTCAGAGGAATGGCCTGGCGACATTGTGAACAGACATATACCACGTGTCCACCGAGTTTTGTGTTTTAGTGATTGGAGGCTGCTGTGTTTATCAGCATATGTAAATATACATACTTAATCGCTTGGATAATGATAGGGTGGGATTTGTAATTGGTTTATCCGACTTTAAATACAGTCAGGGGGTATAACTGTTCCCAAGTAGCCAAAAACACCGAACAAAACATTCTTGACAATACATGCTGAAATAAAGCTGCAGCCAGCTAGATCGGATTCCATCCAAAGATTTCAAAATCTATTACCAGGATCGATTTTATGTGCTTTTCCTTTTTAGGATTGAGTCTGAATGTGCCGCATAATGTAGGATACAATTAGTGAGCTTTTAGTGGTGGTGCAAGGTGGTTTATGTGGACTTTTACATTACCTTTTAGACCCAGCCAGATCAGCTCTGAGAGAACAGAAAATAAGAAGCAGATCATTGTGACAAATATGTTTGTGAGGAAATGGGTTTAGTCTGTCTGTCTGTGAGCTCAGATACTGAGTCCCAGTGGATCTAAAGCTCCGGATGAATGAGTCAGACCGCTCACACCCCCTTCTGCCCCCGTCATGTCCCCCATTTCCGTGTCTGAAGTGCTCTTTGCATGTCACACACAGAAAGTATTCAACTCATTTCTCTTTCTCTCTTTAACAAACATTTTCTCTGACCTACATTTTTTAGTTTTGAAGTGCTGTCCTTTGTCTGTATTTCTGTGCTTTCCAGCTAATGACCTCTCAGAAGCAAACATGAAGGGAAAAATAAAAAAAACTCCCACAACTTATTTTTATCATGATTTTACCCTGATCACTATCTGCTAGTTTATACAAGCAAGTAAACAAACATTTTGACCACAAACAGACAGTAAAATGTCAAAGTCAGGACAGCCAGTTACTGTGAGAACATTCCGTCACATTTTCAAAATTTACCGGCAAAGGATTTCATGTAACCGAAATAGAGAATAATGACAGCTAAACTCATCCCAGAGGGTCAACACAGTGTCCCTTTCATCATCCATAATTGGTCTCTCTGTAATTCATCTTCCATTTGGTTTGACTGTGTGGCTGCTACAAACAGAGGAAGCACTTAAGCATCTCCAGGGATGAGCTGCCCCACGCCAAGCACATAAAGTTGTGTTTATTTACCACAGTCTGCCCTCCTTACATGTCCTGAAAATGTTGCTGGTGGATGTTTGTCTCCCAAGTCCAACAGATCAGGTTACAAAAACTTCCACTGAAGCGGAATTTTCTTATATTAAGCAGCGACAATAACAGTTACGTCATAAAATGTATTTAGAAACTGAGTCCTGCTGAATGACACGCCCTCTATTCTGATCTATTTCTATGTTTTTGGTCGCTTCATCAAATGACTGAACAAAAAAAAAAAGAAACACATTGTTGCCCTCACTTTAGAGTTAATTTGTTGACTCTGGCAACATTTAACACAGATGTCTGATAATATAAAATAGTTACATTTCATATCCAGAAAGTCAAAGGTCAACAGTGGACAGGCATGAAGCTAAACCGCAACATGACCATCGTTGGACGAACACAAAGCACCCATAACAACTAAGTCTGTGATTGACTTCTCAGAGTTGGATATTCCCACAGTTTGGCATTAAAAAGAAAAGGGACTCAACATCTCCTGTGTTTGCCCATATACACGGCAACAGTTTACTCCTCACTGTTAGACAGTGGTGTAGAGTATATTTCAGAGGGAACTATTGTATTTTTTTCCGGCACTGCATTTATATGACTAGTTAAAACTTTAAAACATCTCATGACAGAATAAATTATGTCAAATCCAATGAATTGTTACACAGTAAATTATACCACCTGAAAGTACATAGATAAGTAAAACCAGCTCTCCTGCAGTCAGCTTCATCACTGCATCCAGTAATGAAAAAATGAAAAGCAAAAAACACTGAAAGATCCCATTTGAGTAATGAATACTTTTACTTTTATACTTAAAGCACATTTTGCTGACAACACGTACTTTCAGTCAAGCAAGTTTTGGAATGTTGGCTGTTTAGTTGAGACTGAGGCCCAACAAAAAATTACAATTTCATTGTTCAAGCAGACACTTTTATCCCAAGTGACGTACATCTGAGATGTGGATACACATTAATACACCAATGGCGACAGAGCTGCCATGCGGGTTCTGTGTCTTGCTCAAGGACACTTTGAATGTGATCACACCAGCAACCTTGAGCCACAGCCGCCCCCACAAACAACCCTGTTTACATCCTGTGTGGGGATGCCGAGGGTCATTTGCGGGTCCCATATCTTGGGGCCCTAGTGGGCAGTCCATCCCAAACCCAAAAAGTTTAGCTTTATATGGACTGGGCACAAAAACGTCCATTTCACACGTGGTAGTGCTACTGAGGACCTACTTTGGACCCTTTCATTTTCTAGGTGGCATGTGGGGCTGAAGAGAGTCTGCTTTGACCCCACAGCCTATTTCAAAGTGATATGTAGGTGTAGCAGAAAACTTACCAGGGACCCATAAGTGGAGAAAAAGTAGGGGACTCATATGTGTAGGCCAGCAGTGGGCCTGTGTGGGTCACCCACAGATAAATCACACTGGGGCTCAAAGGGGCAAAAGACTGTGGTCCCATTAAGGGCTTTACCTGCAAAATGGGAAATCGTGAACATATGCGAGCTTGGGGCACTTTTACTTACGATCTGAGTGTTTCTCCAACCAGTGTTGTTAGATCATCTAACAAAAACAACAACAACAACAACAAAAAGAAAACATCAAGACTTACTTATTTTTGTTACTTTTCCTTTTGTGTATCTTGTATTAAATTTCTGTCTTGTGAAGCACTTTGTAACTTCTAATGTAAAATAAATGCTATACATAAATATTCACTGAATTCATTTATTTTTATTACAGGTATTTCTTTTTAAAGTTGAATTTATGTGTGAAATTAAATGAAATGAAATGAAAAATACTTTATTTATCCCAGAAGGGAAATTCAATTAAATTAATTTAAAATCAATTAAATTACAAATCAATTAAAGTGTGATTACATGGACTGTAAAAAAAATAAAATAATTATATTGCACTGAAGTAATTAATGAGCATCAGGTCGCTGTTGTCATAACAACCATGTTTGCATGACATTATTTCTTAACTTTGAAAATAAGTAATCCTAGATTGATTATTATTCTTGACTAAACTAAATACAGTGAAATGAATATTTCACTGTTGCTTTCGCCTGTTGGCACTTTGCGGTCCGTATCCACCCTGAAGAGTTTAAATAATTAGCAGTGACATTATCTGCTCAGTGGCAGACACGGTTCATGTAGATCAGGAACATGTAAAGGTGACATCAGTCCTCAGGAATGTGTGAGAGCCCGCAGCTGATTGGTGGACGCACCGAGCGGCTCTGGGTGGAAACTGAAGTCAGGACGATGATGTGCAGCAGAAGGAGGCTGAGGCAGCAGCTCTGAACACGGAGAAAGCCGACCAGGATCAAACACTTTTATTACTACTTTTTTCTTTTTGGATCGTTTGGCAGATTTCTCGTCGTCAAAATGTTTTCAGTGTCTCCTAAAACTGTCCTGCTGGTTCTGGTGTGTGTGTCTGCTGCGTCTGCTGCTGTTAGAAACGGTAAGAAAACTTCTCAGACCATGTTTAGGACGTTCAGTACGGGTTTTTGAGGGACTCTGATGGCAATTATGTAATTTTGCCCTATGACGATTAAAAAAAAAAAAAAAAAAAAGTAGGCTACATGGTGGAGTTGTAACTATTAGTTGATTTATTATTTATTGGACCAAAAAAAACCAAAACTAAAAGAAACAGTTTTCATCATAAAATCATATTTGAGTTATATTTCTAAATAGTGACACCTTGTCAAACATTCTCTGTTTTTTCTTTCTCCTCTGACTTATATCATCTCTACTAAAGCCGTGGGAGCGGCGCCGCTCCCGGTTTCCAAGCGAACTTTAAACTACCGTAAGTCGTCAGCCAGGGCCAGAGAGACAATTCAAACGGTTTCTAAAAGAAGAGAAGACGCTCTTTGAGGGATTTGAGGTTTATTACGGTAGCACCAAACCCGGTCAAGGTACTTGTGTTAGAACGCAGTGCATCCGCCTGCGGTCTCAAGGATTCAAGGCCTTGATTGGTCACAACCACAATTATACATAATGTATGGTGCACCTGTTACACACCGAAACAATAAGAAGAAGAAGAAGAAGTAGAATAAAGAATAAAACACACAAGAAATATATATTTATATATGAATATCTAGAGAGATAGAAATCAGCAAAATAAATAAATCAAATTGTCAAATAGTGCAAAAAAGAAAAAAAATAAATAAAGAAAATAATAATACTATGTACATGTATATATACAAGGTGAAAAGTAACCGGTTGGATTGTTTATTGAGTCTACTGTTTGAGGTTCAGCAGGTGGACAGGCTCCGGAGGATGGTTCTTATGGTGCGCTCAGCCGAGCAGACCACCCTCCTCAGGGCCAAGAAGTCCTGCTGGGTGCTGCTGCCCAGTCAGGTGGTGATGCTCCCAGCCAAAACACTCAATGGTGCACAGGTGTAGAAGTTCCTGAGCACCTTGAGAGGGAGCTTAAAGTCCCTCAGGTGTCTGAGGAGGTAGAGACACTGTCGAGCCTTCTTCACCAGGGTATTGATGTGACAGGACCACGTCAGGTCCTGCGTGATGTTAACACCCAGGTACTTGAAGCTCTCCACTCGCTCCACCTCTGTCCCGCTGATCCTGAGTGGGTGGTATGCCCTCTGCTGCTTCTTGCTGTAGTCCACAATCAACTCTTTATAGTCTTGCTGATGTTCAGGAGGAGGCTGTTGTCTCTGCACCAGTCCTCCAGGTGGGTGATCTCCATTAAATAGTCCTCCTTGTTGTTGTTGGAGATCAGACCCACCACTGCTGTGTTGTCAGCAAACTTAATGATGGTGTTAGAGTCTGATGTGGACAGGCAGTCATTAGTGTACAGTGAGTATAGCAGAAGGCTCAGCACACAGCCCTGGGGGGCACCGATGTTCATGGTGCGGGAGGGGGACAGGTGATTCCCCACTCAAACCACCTTTGGTCTTCTGGTCAAAAAGCTGTAGACCCACCTGCACAGTGAGGAGGTGAGTCCGAGCTCCTGCAGCTTAGTGACCAGTCTGGAGGGGATTATGGTGTTGAACGCTGAACTGAAGTCCACAACCAGCATTTGTACATAATTCCCCTTCCTAGTGTCCAGGTGGGCCAGGGCTGTGTGTATACGGGCTTTTGCTGGAAGCCAGTTAATTTTGTCTTTATTTGTTTTTGTCTTGTGTGGTTGGATATCAAAACTGTCCTTTAACGTTCTTACGACTGCGCTTTCGAACACCGTCACACGGCCTTCCCCCTCCTCTTCTACTAGATAACAGATAATGCCGTGATGGCTCTAGACCAATGCATTGTCCATGCTATCAATAGAGAAGATGCTGTTCAGAGAGATGAGTGACTTCAACCCAAAAGTCATAGAGAAGTTTGCAGAGCAGAAAGAAAGAAGAGCCATATTTTTTTAATAGCAGGGCTCCAGACTGCATTTGCGACTTTTATTTTGAGAGTGTGAATTGATGAGCATGATGATCATGAAGCTGTATCAGTGTCTCTGTAACCTGCACAGGAAGCTGCTGTTAACCACAGTGGTGGAAAGTAGATATTTTATTACTTTGGTGTGCTGTGGTATTTACGCTTAAAAATGAGGTCTTCTCGTGAAAAACAGAGCGCACCTGCATCCACTGTTTTTCCGCTGATGGAAAAAAACGCGTGTAGAATACATGTAGCTGGGTTTAACCTCGGACAAATCTGACATGAGAAAGCACTGTTTATTATTTTTAAAGTCCTTTGTGGTCGCACACCTGTCTGTACACACCACAGCCACCAGACAGCATCTACTGCAGCCTGCAATGTGGGGCGTTCAGGGAGCATCAGTAAATCATAGAGTCTATCGATAAGAAAATGTTCAGCAAGTCATATGTTTTGCCTTTGACCAGGTGGGAAGTGGGACAAAATGAGAAAGTTAGTCATGCTGGTGCTTCCAGTGAAAAAGTCAGTCTGGAGCCCTGAATAGTGTGTTTTTCATCGTTGTTGTCGTGTCTTTTGAGTTTGTACAGATCCTGAAAATATTGATGAAAGTTTGATGGTTTTGAAATTTAGTTCTGGCAAGTCTTAATAATGTTAAATTAGATTATGATTAGAATATCCTCCAAAGGTAGACAATTTGCATTCCTGTAAAAAGTTGTGCCTGATGTTATTCATATTCTAATTTCTGATTTAAAAAAAAAGCTTATTTGCAGACTCCCACCAAAAAAATTCACCAGTCGCCACTGGATGCAAATGAAGATAAACTGAAGATATTGAATTTTGTGTTGTTGGTTGGAAAAAAAGAAGATATTAGAAGATGCGACTTTTAGTGTATGAAGTGTAATAAATAATGAGGAAGACCAAAAAATAGTCAACTACAACAAAGTGAAGCCATCAAATATCTTTTTAATGTTCATCCCAAAATGACCCAAACTCCCAAATATTCAGGTTATATCATAAAACAGAGAGAAAAAACTAATTCTCATATTTGAGGGGATTGAAACAATGAAATTTGAGGCTACATTTTTCACTGTTCAATCTATAACTTACTAGAAATCTTTAGTTGATTATAAGCTAAGATAAAATATCTGCCTATTACTTTTATGTTGTCATTTCAGTGCTATAATATATCTTTCACTTGTGTATCTTGAATTACTCTGACACATTTTTTTTTCTCTCTCTCTCTTCCAGGCAGTTTGCAAGTGAGGACCTTTGTCCGTTTTCACACGACAGTCACAGATGAACCAATAGACATGGATTCAATTTTTTCAGATTATCAAGATGGTGCCAAAGTGAATCGTTCTAAAACTTCCCGGGTGTCTAATGTCACCAGGTTGAGTATTTCAGAGGAGGCGCGTTTTTTTCTCTCAGGCCCCGTGTCCACCATCCTCATACCTTCCTTCTACACGCTGGTCTGCTGCATCAGTGTGCCCATTAACATCTGTGCGGTTCTGGCCTTCGCTCGGGGGATCCGGCCCAAGAAGCCGGCGGCGATCTACATGCTGAACCTGGCCTTTGCCGACCTGCTCTTCGCCTTGATGCTCCCCTTCAAGATCTCCTACCACTTTGCAGGCAACAACTGGATATTCGGCGGCCTCATGTGCCGTGTGGTCACCGCCGCCTTCTACTGGAACATGTACTGTTCTGTTCTGCTCATAGCCTGCATCAGTGTGGACCGGTTCCTCGCTGTAGTCTACCCCATCGACTCCCTGGCGTGGAGGAGGCCCAGGAACTCCGTCATAGCCTGCGTCACCATGTGGATATTGTCCTTCGCTGGCTCTGTGCCCCTCGTCATCTCCGACCAGACTGATTACCTTGAAGAGCTGAACATCACCACCTGCCATGACGTCCAGAGCTCTGAGAACATCGCCTGGCTGAAGATCTACTTCGTGGTCCTCTGCTGTACCCTCTTCTTCCTGCCTCTGCTCATCACGGTGGTGTCCTACACGAAGGTGATCTGTTCTCTGAGCAGAGTCTCAGTTCCTGGAAGCTCACGCAGAAGAACCAGAGCAGTGGTGATGGCTTTGACGGTGCTGGTGCTGTTTGTGTTGTGCTTCATGCCCACGAACTGCCTACTACTGGCACACTACCTGCAGTTTAACACGGCGGTGGAGAAGAACCACGATTACCCCGACGGCTCCTACGCTGTCTATCTGATATATCTGTGTTTGGGAAGTCTGAACTGCCTCCTGGATCCATTGGTTTACTACTTTGGATCATCCCAGTGCCAGAGACAACTGTCCAGCATGCTGAGGTGTGAGAAGATCACCGAGCGCATCAGTATCAGTCAGTCATCGTCTGATTCATGCAGATCCAGCACCAGAACAATGCTCAAATCCAGCCGCACCGAAAGCTCCAAGCTCAACAGTTCGGTTACCAAAGTGGACCCTTTCCAAGCAAACCTCAACAGCCAGTACAAGAAGCTGCTGGTGTGAGTGACTGCTGGACTGTTCATCAAGGGGATTAAACTGACTCTTACCTGTAATTTGAAATATTTTATTATGAAGTTCAAGTACTTGCAAATACAGCGCACTTAGCTAATGAACTGTTACATAAAGTTGGCCCTTTCGTGCCAACAGATACAGACAATTGTGCAATGACAGACGTGCTGTCTGACGAATGGAGGAAGGAAGGAAGTTGAGAGTAGATAAGAATATGCTTTCTAGAACAATGTTCAGTTACAATGAAATGCTTCTACTTTTGTGTAAGAGCTCACGAGTTTATATGGAACTCTATAGATATTCCATTTAATGGAAGGAAACTACTTGCTATTTTGTGTAGTTTTTTTAATATAAATGTTTTGCTGATAAGCTGATTTTCAAGCACTTACGTGTCACATGGAAAAAGCTGTCAATCATCTCTTTGTACTTTATATATATATACCACTTCTTTATTATTTTTTTACTGCTAATAAATATTTGTAACTGCCACTGTGATCATGTTTTAAAGCAGTAACTTGACTTCCCTGATAGTTTGTTTGATGCTGCTCCCTGCTGGTGGGAAGTGAGCATTACTGAATGTGTTTTCCATTAAAGTTGTACCTTCACACCACAGTCCTGGTGCTTGTCTGTCCAGCAGGTTGCGCTGTGTTGCTGTTAATAAAAAAAAAGTGACTGAAAGGACTCCATTCGTTATTGCAAATCTTCAATTTGAAGTGATCGAAGGCAGAAAGAAGCAGCAACACTTAAAAAGTTAGACCCACTGAATTCCAGGCATTTTTGCTTAAAAATGACTAAAATGATTCACTAATCAACTCAGCTGTAAGTCGCTGTTTAAAAACAGCACAGAATAGTCAGCTGTTGATGAATTTGCTGGCCTGAGCAGCACAGAGATGGATTGAAACTGCAAAGAGTCTTTTAGTAGTGATTTGCATGATGAGACCAGTTTATATTATCAAATCAGAATAACAAGAAAATTGCTGAAAAACACAACATTGAAATGATGACCATGATGGAAGATGACAAATTATTTCCAGCAGGGTTCATGCACAAATCAAACAATACATAAATCATTAAGTATCTCCTGATTTGGTGAAATAACAGTGTTTTCAAAATATATTTTTTTTATCATATTTGTTCAGCAGTGGCGTCTATGGTACAACTGAGAGATTTAGTACTAGTAGAGTTAAAGAGTTTAGTCACAGGGGACGTCATCACAATCATGACTTACACAAAGAGGATGACATGAATTTATATAACGAGTGGTCATGTTAAACCCTGAGTCAGACACATTATATAACACACAGTGTTTGCTAAACTGCAGCCTTTGTGATTTGCTAATTTCTTTGTGTGAAATCGCAGTTTCAATGTGAAATCAATTAGTCATTCATCCTTAGTCTGTGGGATTCCAAACAATCAAGAAGACAATGGAATTCTACTTTGTTCAGAAACAAGAGGTGAAGCGACAGGAGTTGAGCACAGGGAGCAGTAATACTGAATGATATGCAACAAATTCTGCTCCTTGACCAGCAAGATCAAGCTTTTAACCTCAAATCGACTGATTACTGACTCAGCTGATTGTTGGAGCCAATATTAAGCATTTTTTTCATTTGCTGTTATCATTTTTTTTTTTATCCGATTCCTGAACAAATAAATGGATTTAAAAATGAAATATTGCGGCACGCCATTTGTAAAAGTCTATCAGCACTGACGGATAAATGTTGAAAAGTTCTCTTCATGTAACATATGGAAAACATAAATAAAGACATTTGAACAAAGTTTTGTGTTCCAAAATTTGACATTTTATTTTTATTGAAATGAGGATCTTGATTACTAATAATCAGCATCATCCTGAAAACATTACATCAGATGACTATGAAGGACTGTTCATGCTGTCACCAGCTTCCACAGACATAGACAATGAAGTCATCTACAGGATTTGGGAGACCACACAGTAATAAAATGAAAAGGTATGTACTTATGTAGCATGCAGCTTGCTCACAAAGTCACAGATAATATAACACTTTAAAATGTGTCAAAGTCAAACAGTG